CAGCCTCAACATGTTCATCTGGGTACTTTCGATGCGGCATGCACGCGCCGACGAGGTTGATGTTTGCGCCTTCCGCCTCGAGCGCGGCTGCTGCAGCCCTAGTAAAGATTGACTTGAATGTTGCGTGAGGCCAGCGTTGGTTGAGCAGGGAGCCAATGCCGTTGCAGCCTTTCGACCCACCAATGCCGAACCAAGCGCGGCCGCGCGTCGCGGTGAAAATCTCTCGCCCCCCCCCCCCACCACCACCACCACCACCACCACCCCCACGGCCATGTAAATACACAGATACCCCATTGCATGCCGCCGAACCCGATCATCACAACTTCGCACCTTCCGTGACAATTCCTTCAAGAATGTACGCGGCAAGAAATAGCAATGACTTAATTCAGTTAGTGCAACGCCGTGGCGGTTATCATGCGCGCCCTGCCCGCGGCGCCTGCCTTCGCCCCGTCAATCGCTATCCGCGACTGGCTCTGGGTCGGTTTTCGACCTCCACTTCTTCGTGCTTTCGTCAGTCTTCGCCTCCACCTTCTGGGTTGCCGTCTTCGCGCGCCACCCCCCCTCCTCGTCGCGCCAAGCCACCTTCTCCCCCTTGACTGTGACCACGCCGCCCCTTCACAAGATCCTCGCGTCGCCGTCGCCCTCCCCGCCGTCGTTGATGACGCGGTGCTTGGCGTGCCCCAACCTCTCCCCCTGCTCTCTCTCTCTCTCTCTCTCTCTCCCCTCTCCCTCTCTCTCTCTATCTCTCTCTCTCCCTCTCTCTCTCTCTCTCTCTCTCTCTCTCTCTCTCTCCTCTCCTCTCCTCCGCCGCCAGGTTGTCGCGGGAGAACAAATCCCCCAACTTGTTCTTGTCTGTGCACGCGCGCGCGGCTTTGTTGGACCATCTTGTCGTGGATGCTCCAGAATGCGATGAGTTCCATCTTCGCTTCCTCCGTGAACGCGCTCACGCTTGCCGCGTGCACTTACCCGAGAAGGACTTTCAGCGCTCTCTCCAAGGTATCCTTGATCTTCGCGGCCGGCTGTCTTCCCTTGAAGCCGAAGGCGACCACCTGCATGGCCCTGTCCGCGTCTGAGTCGATGGCCTCGTTGCCCTCGCCAGTGTTTGCGCGCCCGACCCCCTGGCCTCGGGCCCCGCGATGAAGCGCGGGACCGCGTTCTTCATGGAGTCCGCCGCTACGAACATATTCACTTCCGCATTGAGGTTCGTGGCGTCAATTTCCAAGTCATCGAACCTCATCGACGTTGCGCGTGGTCTCCTCCAGATCCCCCACGGCCTCTCTCACCTCTTTGATTATGCCATTCATCGCGTCCATCTTCTCGCGCAGCCTGTCGAACCGCATGCTCAGTTGCCTCTTCTGCCTGGCCCTGTATTCCGCGATGGCGCTCTCTGTCATGTCATCTGCGTCGTCGCTCAACACCTCGTCCGCGACTCTCGACTTCCGCTCCGGAGTAGGCCCCGAACCTGATCCTGAGCGCTTCCCTGACTGGCCTCCCCCTGCCATCTCGCCGCACCCCCCGACAGCCCCGCTAGAGAGCGAAACAGACACAGAATGAGCCAGACTCAGCAAATTGTAGCAAATATGGAATGATTGCTTGCAACATGTTAGAGCCCGCATGGTTTTTTTGAGCTCCGCCGAGGGCCCCAGCGGCGGGGCCCGCGCGCGGGCGCTGCACCCATTTTCGGCACACCCCTCAGGAGGGTCGTGGCCCAATAGGGTGCTCCACCGAAAACCTGCGGCGCGGGGTCCGCACGTGGGTCCCGCGCCCATTCAGGCACGCCCCCCACGAGGATCGCGGCCCCATAAGAGCTCCACCGAAGGCCCCGGCGGCAGGGTCAGCACGCGGTCTCCGCAGCCATTTTCGACGCGCCCCTCGCCGGGATCGCGGCCCCATATGGGGCTCGACCGAAAGCCCTAATGGCAGGTTCCTCACGCGGGCTCAGCGGGCCCCCCCCGCACAAGGATCGCGGCCCCATAAGGGGGCCCCACCGTGGCGCAAGGCAAAAGCGCGCGCGCGCCGTCGCGCGCGCGGCGGCGCCTTGCTGTTTCGCCCGCCGGGACGCTTCACCGCGAAGGCTTGGCCCTTGGATATCGGCGGGTTGATTTCGAAGTCACGGGGGCGACGCACGGGCGAGGAGGGCGGTCGCCCCTCCCCGGCACGGGCTGCAAGAAGTCAGCGCGGAGCGAACGGCTCAACTCTAGGGTCTCTTCGACGCAGAGAGCCGCGGTGACCTTCTCTGCGAGGCCGCGGCGTCGGTTTCCCCTTGCCCCCAGTGCGGCGCGACGAGCGCAGGGGAAGGCGCTCTTTCTTGGCGGGGGGCGCAGGGGGGGCAAGGGGGGGGAGGGGGGCATCTCGCCCTGCCTCTTCATATCTTCATGCGCTGCCCTCCCCCCCGCGCCCCCCACGCGCCCCTGGTCGCGCTAACCCCAGGCGATCTTCCCGCCCCCTCATTTCAGCTCCAGCGTGGCCGGCGCTCGACGGGAAACGCGGCCCCGATTGCGCGCGTTGCGATCGCGCTGAAACGTCGCGGCCAGGCGAATGAACGCGCAGTTCCCCCTCAAGGCCGCCTGGCGCGAGGTCACGACGCGCTGCTCGCGCCTCGCCTTCGCGCTCAGTCGGCGCGCGCGCGGCGTCGCAAACGAGAAATCGTCGGGGACGTTTGCTTCACGTTTAAGAGTGTCGTGCGATTTAGACGCCGTGATCGGACTGCGCCACCTTCGCGCCCGGTGAAAAATCGCCGGCGGGAATTGCGCGAGCGCGCGCGCGCGGCCCGCGACAGTGGCTGGAGAGATCAACATGGCAATAAACCAACGAGGCTGACCTTTAAACGAGCCCCCCCCCGCATGCAGCAATCGGCACACACGGCGTCCACATTCTTTCGTTCCGCCAAAAACGGTGATCGAAATGCACTGCCAAAGTTGAAAGGTTCTGGGATTCTCCGAACGTCAGAGGCGCTCGCCCCCCCCCCCAAAGAAAAAAACGCTTCGCGGCAGAAGTGGCGCGCGAAGCAAGCGATGTCACGAGAGAGCCGGACTTTGCCTGACCTGGCAGCCCCCAAGGGAAACGGGTCACTTCTCGGAGGTGGGGGCCCGCGCCCACGATCGTGGACGCGCGGGGATGCGCGGGCAAGTTCGACGCGGCAAGGCGACGCGGAGGCCCGCGGCCAGGCCCTGGGCGAGCCAGCCTATAGAAGCAGACTCTGGTTCGCGGCAAGCGCCGGGCCATGCGTTTCGCCGCGGGAGATGCGCCCCGGGAGAAACTGAAGCCCCCAGCCGCCGCCGCGCGCCCACGGCGCCCAACGCTTGATGACATCTCGGTGGACATAGGCACCGCCGCGGGCCAGCGAAGGTCCGGCGCCGCCCGGTCGCCGCGTCGCTGAGCGAGTCGGCGAAAGGCAGCGCGCGGGCGCGGCCCAGGCGGCGGCGCCTTGGGCATCTCCCCGGCCCTCGCCCCCATGCCTTGGCGCCTGAGGCTGACGCGCGACCTCCAGCGGCAGCGGACGGTCTTGCTAGAGCGGCCTCGACTTGATCGCAGCCGCATTTGGCAGCGCGATAGCGCGCCGCGCGCCTTCGCCGCCTGAGCGAAGGCGCGGGGCATGAGCGGCGTGGCGTGGCCCTGCCAAATCGCGAAGATCGGAGGCGCCTCGGCGCCGTCAGACGCGGCGCGCCGGCATGCCGCCGCTGCGCCCCGCGCCGCACCGCCTGCAGCGCCGCCGGGCCCGGGCCCGGGCCCGGCAAGGCCTGGCGCGGCAGGCCCAGCTGCGCCGCCTCAGTCTCGAGATGTTCCAGCAGGAGCCCGGTCGCGCTCTGGGCGCGGGATGTTCCCCCGGGTCGCCGCGCCCAGAGGATGAGGGGCTCTGGGCTCTCTCGGGCGGCGGAGCACCTCGAACGTCAGCCGCGCGGCCAGCCCCACCCCCCGAAAGTCGTTGCTCCGCGCCTGGGGCCCCTGGCCGCGAGCAGCCCGGCGCTGGCCGCTTGTAGCCGCGGAACGATCGGCGACAGACCAGCATCTGGCCGCCGCCCGCAGGACCGGCAAGACAGCGCCGCCGCAAACGTCTGCTAGGACATCCTTTCCAAGGGAGCTCCGCTAGCGCGGCGTCGAAACTCGGCCCCGACTCCGGCGTCGCGCACCGCCCGCCTTCCAGCCTGCGCTCGAGCGAGGCGAAGCCGCCCAGGGGATCGAGGGAAGAGAAAGACGGGAGGAGGGGTGAGAAGGAGACAGGAGACGGCGATAGACTGCAGACCACATGTCTATCTAACCTTGTTCGCACAACCACGGTCCACGAGCGGAGGACGGAAAGGGGGTGACGAAGACGAACGAGCGAAGGAGGATAGCACTGCTGCCTGCTTGCTGCCGAGCATCCCTGTGCCAAGCTGCCAAGAAAGAGACAAGCATAGGAGACGGAGGGCCCGCCCACCCTGGAGGGGACAGCCAGAGCTCCACCTCCTGGAGACGAGCGCGGAAGGAAAGCGAATGGAAGCGGAGTTCGCCGCAACCGCCCCAGCGGTCAGAAAACAATGGCACCACGGTTCAAGCAGGGACGAGGGGAGAAAGGAGAGGAGGCGAGGAAGGAAACGCGGCGTCGATGGTGCCACACCTGTCCTCCAGGCGGCGGGAGGCGGGAACACAATGGCACCACGGACGGTTCAAATGGAGAGGAGGGGAGGGAGCGGGGGAGGAGGGGAAGGGGAAGGGGAGGAGGGGACGAGACATGCGGGGAAGAGGATCGCCCTCTTGAAGCGGTTAAGATGTTGCACGTGCTCTTCCGGCGGCCTGGACACAAAGGTGCCTTTGATCAAATGGGAAGGAGGGACCCTTTGGCTCGACTGCGGGCATCGCATGAGCGTGACTCGAGGGAGAGGGGGAGGGAAGGAGAGTGGAACGAGGAAGGAGGGGAGGACACAACCCCTACAGGGGGGGGATGGAAGGAGGGTGCGAGGAAGGGGGGACAGGGGGCAGGGAGCGGGGACGCTGGGGAAGGAGGGAAAGGATTTGGGCACCACATGACTGGCGAGAAGCGAGACCCGCCATCGATGTCAATGCAGAACCTTAGCTGCCCAGATACGCAACACACACACACACACACACACACACACACAACACGCAGCGTATCGATACGGAGCTCCACACGCAGACCGAAAACGTAGGTCTGAGGCGATGCGCTCGCCACAACGTGGGCCAAATTCGCTGAGCCAGCACGCAGCGTGTTGACAAAGACGTTTTGAGCACCGTACGTGTTGCGTCCCGAAACGGGCGTACCGATGCTGATGGGCAACTTTTCCACCACCACCATATGTAGGACGGGGGGAGAAGAGAGGATCAGAAGGTCATCCCCCTCCTCCTCCTCCTCCTCCTCCCTCCTCCTCCTCCTCCTCCTCCTCCCCCTCCTGCCTAATGGTAGTGGTGGTGGAAAACCGGCCCATCAGATGCAGCTGAGTGCAGAACTGGCTGAGGACCTGCTTCAGCATCGCGTACTCGTCCTGCGCTCACTGGCCGGGCCCGGCCGCCCGGCGCGCGCCCGGCGGAGGGTGCAGCCGCCCTGCACCGGCGCGCGCCCGGCGGAGGGTGCAGCCGCCCTGCATGCCCCGACTCCAATCGTCACCCCGCCGCAGCCGCCGTCGTCGTCGCCACCGTCATTGTCATCGTCGCGACCCTCGTCGCCGTCGCCGTCGTCGTCGCCGCCACCGTCAGCGCACTCAGCGCCGCCACGACAGAAGCGGATACGAAAATACGAACGCAACGGGTGGCCGATGAAGCGGTCTTGCTGCGCGGCGGGAGAAACTAACCGTGTCGCAGGCACTGAGTGGAAGGTCCTCAGGTCCCTTCGAGTTCTCTGGATTGAGTTGCGTAAGCACTCATGAGTGGCCAGGACACCCGAGTTCCAGGGATGTCTGGAAGGTCCTGGGTCTTCACGCATGACTTCGACGGAGGCAAGGCGAGGCCCAAGACAACCCCTGAGGGTCCCAAGAGAGACCCAAGACGCCCCCGACACGGCACAACAGCGTTCCACGACGGCCACAGATTGCCCGGGGACGGCCCCGTGGGCCCCATGAGCCCCAGAGGGCCCAAAGTCGCCCCAAGGAGTCTGCACGAGGACTCCAGGAAGGGAGTCAACAAATGAAAGCAAGCATATACCTGTGCCAGATTCCACAAAACATGCGCGCTTGCCCTTCGGGGCTCCTGCTCCTCTTCCTCAGAAAAGAAGCGGGCGGCTTAGCGGAGGTCGCCCTGGATCCGCCGGCGTGTCGCCTGGTGCCCACCCGCAGGCGGTCCCTGGGCGCCTCGCGGGCGCCTCGTGGGCGCCTCGTGCGCTGGGTGCGTCCACCGAGGTCTCGCTGGGTGCACGCCCGCGGGCGCCTGGTGTGCGCCTCGTGCGCTGGGCGGCCGCACAGCCTGCACCGCATGCCCTGCACCGGAGGTCTTACAACGCGTAGCGCACACCACACGGCGTACACCACGTGACTTGCACCGAAGACTGCACCGCGTGGCCCAAACCTGCACCTGCACGGCACAGCCTGCACCACACTGCTTGCACCACACAGCTTGCACCGCATAGCACACACCACACAGCTTGCACCGCGCAGATTGCACGACAGAGCTGACACCATACAGCCTGCAACGCACATCCACTCTGCACACTCACAGTGCACTGCTTCCTTGGCGAAGTCTTCCAGTCCTCCCTCCTGCACCTCCACCCTCCGTCGGCGGCGGCGACCGGCCGCCCGAATCTCAGCGGCCCGCCCGGTGGACCAACGGATCGGCGGTTCGCGGCCGAGCCCCCAGTCGACCGGGCGGGGCCTCCTGCGCTCTTCGCTCGCTCACTCAGCGCGGATACGGAGCGCCCAGAAACCAGAACTCCGAGAAGACGATGTTCTTCAATGCCGGCACGTTTCCTCGATTTCGGCTTCTGGGGCCTGCACATCGGGCACCAGGACCATCGAATATGCACAATCTCTGGGAAACCACATGCTCAAGAATTCACGCAGGCAAACATCTGTGGAGAAAGGCTGCACGGAGGATGCTGGACATGACGCTCTCGGTAGAGACGGGAACCTTTCTTGACAGTAACGGGAAGCGCGGGAAAACGACGAGCTTTGCAAGAACGTGCAACATTATCACGATATACTCTCCGAACGCCCAAAAAGAAGTTCCTGATTATCCTCCTCACTCCCCAGTTTTGCCGTGATTATTTTGATCCCGCCTGCGATTCCCACTTCGAGTCGCGCCAAATCTTCAACCTCCCCACTCGCGTTCCCCTATATCAGGTCGAGCTTACTTGCCGCACGAATTCATGTGAGGCGCACCTCCCGCAGGCGCATATCGGCATGATCCGTCTCTAGACGCATAGCCTCCCCATTCGCATTCCCCTATGTCAGGTCGAATTTACTTTCCGAGCGGAATCAGACGAGGCGCACCTCCCACTGGCGCATCTCGGCATGATCCGTCTTCAGACCCCATCTCCCAACTCGAGTTCCCCTATGTCAGGTCGAATTCCCACTGGCGCATCTCGGCATTATCCGTCTCCAGCCCCCCTATCTCACCACTCGCGTTCCCCTATGTCTGTCGAGTTTACTTTCCGCGTGACTTGGGACGAAGCGCACTCCCCGCTGGCGCATCTCGGCATCATCCGTCCCCAGACCCCCAATCTCCCCACTCGCGATCCCCAAGTTGGCTTTGCTTTCCGCGAGAATTCGGACGAAGCGCAACCCCCGCTGGCGCATGTCGGCATGATCCGCGTCCAGGCCCCCAACCTCCCCACTCGCGTTCCTCATATGTCAGGTCGAGTTTACTTTCCGCACGGCCTCAGACGAAGCGCGCCCCCCGCTGGCGCATCTCGGCATCATCCACGTCCAAACCCCCAACCTCCCCACTCGCGTTCCCTCATGTCAGGTCGAGTTTACTTTCCGCGCGAGTTCAGACGAGGCGCACCCTCCGCTGGCGCATCTCGGCATCATCCGTCCCCAGACCCCCAATCTCCCCACTCGCGATCCCCAAGTTGACTTTGCTTTCCGCGCGAATTCGGACGAGGCGCACCCCCCGCTGGCGCATCTCAGCATGATCCGCGTCCAGGCCCCCAACCTGAGCGAGTTCAGGCGAGGCGCACTTCCCGCTGGCGCATCTACGATGACGAGGACGACGACGACGACGGCGGCGACGACGGCGATGATGACGACGACGATGACGATGACGACGACAGCGACGACGACGACAATGACGAGGAGGAGGAGGACGACGACGACAGCAACGATGACGATAATAATGACAACAACGACGACGACGACAACAACGACGACGACGACGATGCAGATGCTCATGGTGTATCGGGCGAAAAGCATACTTTTGAGCGAAATGGTTGAAAACTCCTGTGGCCTTCTGAGGCCTCCTGCTCCAGGGGCCTCGTGGGAGCTCCTGGGGCCTTCTGGGGCCTCCTGGTGATTCCTGGCGTTTCCTGTGACCTCATGTGGCCTCCTGTGGCCTCCTCGGGCTCCTGCCTTCTAGTGCCTCTTGGGACCTCCTGGAGGCTCCTGTGGCCTCCTGGGGCCTCCTGTGGCCTCCTGTGGCCTCCTGTGGCCTCCTCGGGCCTCCTGGTGCTTCCTGGGGCCTTGTAGGGCCTCATGGCCTCCTGGAGCCTCCTGTGGCCTACTGGGGCCTCCTGTGGCCTCCTGAGACCTCATGTGGCCTCCATGGGGCATCCTGTAGCCTGCGGGAACTTCCTGGGCATTCTGAGGATCCACGCCCACGAGTCTGGCCGGCAAAACAAGCAAACCGTTCGAGACATCCTCCCAATCTGGGAGAAAAGGTGGATCTGGAGCCGGCGCTGGTCGCACCGGTCGCGCCAGTCGCGCCGGTCGCGCCGGTCGCGCCGGACGCGCCAGACGCGCCGGTCGCGCTGGTCGCGCCAGTCGCGCTGGTCGCGCCGGTCGTGCCGGTCGTGCCAGTCGCGCTAGCTGCGCTGGCCGCGCCGGTCATGGTCGCGCCGGTCGCGCGGGTCACGCCGGTCGCGCCGGTTGCGCCAGTCGTGCTGGTCGCGCTGGTCATGCCGGTCACGCTTGTCGAGCTGTGCTCGTTGGTCACGCCATGCAGTCGCTCCGGTCGCCCCGCCACGCTGCCCACAGAGGCCCCAGCACGCTGCCCACGGAGGCCCTACGCAGCCCACAGAGGCCCCAAGCAGCGCGCCCAGAGAAGCCCCAGCACGCGCAGCAGAGGCCCCAGCACGCCGCCCACAGAGGCCCCAGACAGCCCGCAGAGGCCCCAAGCGCACCCGCAGCGGCCCCAGCCGCCGCCCGAGGCCCAAACAGGCGCCCAAACGGCCCTCTCGAAGGGCGGTTTCGCATGGATGTCTTGCTCGGATTCGCGTAGAGGTAGTCCTCGCATTCTGCGCGATTTCGCGAAGGGCTGGGCTGTTTCCAGGAACAACCCTGGGTTTACGTTGCCCCCTGCGGGAAACGGGTTGCGCGTGGACGTCTCCGTCTCCATGCGTGCGTTTTCGCGAAGGTCTGGGTTGCTTCTAGGAGGAACAGAGGCGCCCCCCGACGTCGTTCCCTTTGGAGGGCAGTTTCGCGGAGAGTTCTTCAACGGAGCACCGCTGGTTTCGCGACGGAATGGATTGTTTCTAGGAACAATCCTGGGTTCACGCTGCTCGCTGTGTAAAGTTGGTTTTGCGAGGGTCCCTCGTTGCAATGACGTGAGGTTTTGCGAAGGGCTTGCTTGTTTCTACCAGGACTCAGGGTGCCCCGAGAAGTAGCTCCCCTTGGAAGGCGGCCTTTTCATCGGAGTCCGCGCGGCTTCGCGAAAGGCCAAGTTGTTTCTAGAAGGAACCCTGGGGTCGCGTTGCCCGTTGTGTAAATGTGGTTTTGCGGTTGCCCCCCTTTCTATAGCCCACAAAGGACGTACGCGCCCAGCTATGTACATGAACACGGCCCCTCGATTCGCGAGACCGGCCGCGTTATACGAACATGTGTGCAATGCGTGCTCTCGAAACCAGCGTGGATTCATGTACATGTACGTCCTTCTTTCGCTCCTGACTTTCCAATGCCGTGATGTTTTGCGAAGGTCTGGCTGGTTTCCAAGAGGAACTGGGGCGCCCCCCGACGTCGCTCCCTTTGGAGGGCCGGCTTCGCGGAGAGCTTCTCGTCGGAACCCGTGCGGTTTCGCGAATGGCCAGCATGTCTCTAAGGGGAACCTTGGGTTCACGTTACTCGTTGTGTGCAGCTGGTTTTTGCGTATGACGTGATGTTTTGCGAAGGGCTTGCCAGATTCTAGGAGGAGCCAGGGCGCCCCCCGACGTTGCTGCCTTTGGAGGGCGGCTTCGCGGAGAGTTCTTCCTCGCTGTCCGCGCGAGTTCGCTGAGGGCTGGGTTGTTTCTAGGAACAACCCTGGGGTCTCGTTGCTCGCTGCGTCAAGGTAGTTTTGCGCGGGCCGCTCTTGCAACGACGTAATGTTTTGCGAAGGGCTGGCTGGTTTCTACTAGGAATCAGGGTGCCTCTCGACGCTGCTCCCTTTGGAGGGCGGCTTCGCGGAGAATTCTTCCTCGGAGTCCGCGCGGGTTCGCGCAGGGCTGGGTTATTTTAGGAATAACCCCGGGGTCGCGCTGCTCGCTGCGTCGAGGTGGTCTCGCGCCCCTCTTTGCGACGACGCGGTAGTTTGCGAAGGGCTGGCTGGCTCCCACGACGAGGTGCAGCGCCCTCCGGCGCTGCTCCCTTTGGAGGACGGTTTCGCGGAGGAGTAGGAGGAGGACGACGACGAACGAGGAAAAAGGAGGGCAAAGAGGAGGATGACGACGGCGATGATGGCAAGGGCGAGAGCGAGGACGACGACGAAGACGAGGAGAAGGAGGTGGAGGAGGAGGACGAGGAGAAGGAGGCTGGTGTTGCTGGTGGTGGTGTTGCTGCTGCTGCTGTAGGGCTGGTGTTGCTGGCGCTGCTGTTGCCGGTGTTGCTGCTGCTGGTGTTGTTGCTGGTGCTGCTGCTGGTGGTGCTGCTGGTGGTGCTGTTGGTGTTGCTGCTCGTGCTGCTGCAAGTGCTGCCGCTGCTGCTCATGGTGTTGCTGCTTCTGGTGATGACGGTGGTGTTCGTGCTGCTGTTGGTGGTGGTGGTGCTGCTGCTGATGCTGCGTGTGGTGCTGTTGCTGGTTCTGCTGGTGCTGGCGCTGCTGCTGGTACTGCTGTTGTTGGTATTGCTCGCGGTCCTGCTGCTGGTGCTGCTGCCTGTCATGCCGGTCGCGCTGGTGCTGGTCGCGCCGGTGCCGGTCGCTCCGGTCGCGCTGGTCGCGCCGGTCGCGCCCGTCGCACCGGTGCCGGTCGCGGTGTGCTCGTCGGTCGCGCCAGTGGCGCGGGTGGCACTGGTGCTGGACTTGCAAGTGCCGGTCGCGCTGGTCACGCTGGTCGCACAGGGCGTGCCAGTTGCGCCAGTCGCGCCGGTCGCGCCGGTCGCGCGGGTGCCGGTCACGCCGGTCGCGCTGGTCCCGCCGGTTGCGCGCGGTCGCGCCAGTCCCGCCGGTGCCGGTCGCGCCTTGTCGGTCGCGCTGGTCGGCTCCAGATCCGCCTCTTATGCAATCTGGGCCCAAGGGGCGATAACCAGCGCCTCGCTCGAGACATCCTCCAAATCTGCTTCGAAAGCGGAGGATGTTGGGGGCACACACAAGCAAACCGCTCGAGACATCCCAACAATGTTGGCGCGAACGACGGAGGAGCGAGGTACCTCCATGGCGGCTCCCCCCTCCCCCTTGGCGGCGCCTCGCTCGAGACATCCTCAACATCTGCTCCGAAAGCGGAGGATGTTGGGGGCACAAACAGGCAAACCGCTCGAGACATCCCCGCCATTTTGGCGCGAACGGAGGAGTGAGATACTCCCTGGCGGCTCCCCCTTGGGGGTGCTGAAACCCGCGCCTCGCTCGAGACATCATCAGAATCTGCTCCACCATCATCATCATCATCATCATCATCATCATCATCATCATCATCATCATCATCATCATCAGCAGCATCAGCATCAGCATCAGCATCAGCATCAGCATCAGCATCAGCATCAGCATCAGCATCAGCATCAGCATCAGCATCAGCATCAGCATCATCATGATCATCAGCATCATCATCATCATAATCATCATCACCATCATCATCGTCATCATCATCACCACCATCATCATCATCAGCATCATCATCAACATCATCATCAGCATCATCATCATCAGTATCACCATCACCATTATCACCATCACCATCACCATCACCATCACCAGCACCAGCACCAGCACCAGCATCATCATCATCATCATCATCATCATCATCATCATCATTATCATCATCGTCATCATCGTCATCATCATCGTCATCGTCATCGTCATCATCACCATCATCATCAGCATCAGCATCAGCACCAGCACCATCATCATCATCAGCAGCATCAGCATCAGCATCAGCATCATCATCACCATCATCATTATCACCATCACCATAACCATAACCATCACCAGCACCAGCACCATCATCATCATCATCATCATCATCATCATCATCATCATCATCATCATCATCATCATCGCCATCATCATCAATATTGTCAACATCACCACCACCAGCACCATCGTCACCATCATCATCAGCATCACCATCATCATCAGCAGCATCATCACCATCATCATCACAACCACCATCAGCATCAGCATCATCATCAGCATCATCATCATCATCAGCATCACATAGCATAGCGTAGCAAGTCTGAGTGATGTGCGAGTCTGAGCGATGAGTGAGGTGAGGTGTGAGAGTGTCCTTCCGGCGCGGTCGGGGCGCTGCCGCACGGACGTGTACGCCCCCCCCCCCTCCTCCAGGGCATGTCTGGCTGCCACGGGCCGGCGGCGAGCAGGCCATGGGAGCCTTGAGAAATTCCTGCCCTGGGCCGTTTGCACCGCCAAGGCAGCGTCCCCCCTCCTGCCCCGCCTCTGACTACCTACCAGACCACCCCAACCTAACCCGAAGACCTGAATTTCGGGTTGGGGGGGGGGTACGGATTCAACGTGTTTTCTCGATGTTCCCAGCCCCACCCCCCCCCCATCACCACTGGGAATGGAGGGCAGATTAGGGCCTTCGAGTTGGGTTGGGGTGGTTTTGTGAGTGGTGAGCCTCCTCCTCCTCCTCCTCCTCCTCCTCCTCCTCCTCTGCCCGTGCCGCCCTGAGAGGCGGCCTGGAGCGGCGGTGACCGCCTTCCCTTCCCCCCCGAAGTGTCCAATCCAATCCTCCACCACTGCACGTTCGAGGAGGTCCGTCCCTCTTCACATGTGGAGCAAGTGCAATCTAGGGCTCTACTGTAAGCAGCGCGTGATGATTGCAAACCTTGGGAATCCCCACCTGTCGAAGGATGCCTCGAAGGATGCCCCGGGACTCCAAGCTTTCTGAAATGGGTCCTGGGCGACCCCCAGGGGCACAAGATTGTGGCGGCTAGAGGTCCCGTCGAGGTCCCTGGGCTCACAAAGGTCCCCAGGTCCCGAGCAGGCAACAGGTTCAACAGTTTCTGTGCGTGCACTTTGGCGGGTGGCCAACCCAGCAGGGTAAGTAGGTCCTCCAGGATTTCAAGAGGGGTATGGGGCCCAACCCGAATCTCAGGGCTTTGATTGACAAAGCAATCCCGCTTTCGAAGGTAGATGTATGCTGTGTCACTGCCCGTGACAGGCCGCCAGGTGTCAGTCGTGCGGGCCCGTGCCCCGCAGGAGTCTCCACCCCCACCGCAGGATCTCGAGGCCCCGAAGTAGGAGATGCGGATGCTGCAGCTGGCAGAGCGGATTCAAGCCAAGCAGCAGGCCGGTCTCTCCTCCGAGGCACCATGATTTGTGCTCAACCTTGTATGGTCATGTGCCCTCTCGTCCCTTTGAGTCGTTCTCCTATCTTATCCCCTCCTCCTCCGCCCTCATGCTCGCGTCCTTGCTCCTGAGCACGTGCCTGTTCAAATACATCTCGTGGTACATCCACGTCCTGTACCTTGGGAAGGCTCTAGGGGGGGGCTGAGGCGGAAGGGGGTGGGATCACCCCCTTCCCTTCTCTTTGTTTAGCGTGGCGTCTTCGAGTCCACTTCGAACAGGGCGCCGCCAGCCTCGCAAGAAAAGGACACTGACTGGAGCCGGTATCCGGTGCAAGTTAGCAGGTCAGCGCATGCCCATGTTAATTCGGACCTGTCCCTCGACACGGGGAATATTCACAAATAGTCAAAAATACTATGGGGCCGACTTTTAAACTATCTTTTGATTATGAATCGCTTCGCTCATTCCGCCGGCCCATTTCGCATGAGTGAGCCTCTTGGGGCCGCTGGGGGGCCTCTTCAGCGTCGCTTGGGGGCCTCCTGAGGGCCTCTTGGGGGCTTTTGGGGCCTCTCAGGGGCCTCTTGAGGCCTCCTGGGGGCTTCTGAAGGCCGAGGGCTCGAAGTTTTGTTTTGTGTTCCCCCTTTGGGGCATCGCTTGGGCCCCTCTTGGGCCCCTTGGGCCGTCTTGGATGCCTCTGGGGCTGTCTTGGAGCCCTCTTGGGCCATCTTGGGGCCTTCTTGGGAGCTTCTTGGGCCCTCTTGGGGCGATCTTGGGGGCCTCTTGGGCCGTCTTGGGGCGTCGGGAAGCCGAAAAGATGGACACGCCAAAATCTGCCCAAAACCTCAGGACAAGTAATGAATTTTGCCTCTTGGGGCCCTCTGGGGAGTGCTCTTGGAGACCTCTTGGGGCGTCTGGGGGCCATCTTGGGCGTCTTGGAACGATCGTGTGGCATCTCGGAGCACTCTTGAACCATCTTGGAGGGCTCTTGGCGGCCTCGTGGCCCTTCTTGGGGCTCTCTGGAGGGCCACGGGGGCGGCGCCCAGGAGGAAAACCATCTCTGACCCGAGTCTGCCGGGGATCGCCCGGGGTACTTTTCGTCCGGGGACCCCCAGGGGCCGCCCCGCGCGCGCGAAGTAGAAGTATTATTTAGCAGTTACCGGAGATCTTAGCACGCCTCTGGCCCGTTGGGCCGGCGAATTTTAGGACATTTGGGGGTATGTTTCATTTTCCCTTCAAAATCTGCCTGTAAGGGGGACGCGCCCGACCCAATGCCAATGCAATGGAGCACGTGCAGTCAAAGCTCTGCGACGAGGAACCATCGATAGGAATCAAATTCAATGTGGGTGCTTCAATAGTGGCGCAAAAGAGGAACGCCAGGGGGAAGCATCGAGCCCCTCTCGAAGCATTGCGGGCCTTGTCTTAAAGCGTTGAACCGATGTGGACCTTATCACGACCACCCCTAGAGACCCCAGAACGGCCCCAAAGATGCCTCAAGACTGCCTCCACGAGGCCCCCGAGAGGCCCCCAACGAGATCCCAACGAACATCCACTAAGCTTTGTATCCACACGGTGGCAGGACTGGCCGAAGACAATTTGATAACTGCTTCATCCGTTCTGGCGAATAGTTACTCCAACTCCCGAACACTGCTTCCACATCCTGAAACAACTGTCCGACTCGAACTCCTATTTTCCGACTCCACCTCCCGTCTCTCATCTCCAGTACCCGCATCGTCTCTGCGAAACCTGCTCATTTCTCTCGACTCCTGCCCTTATGTCTCCGACTCTGGATCCCAACTCCGTGACTCTTGCACCCTCATTTCTCTGGCTCGAGCTTCACGGTTTCCGACTCCAACTCCCGAGCTTCCAACTCCAGCCGTGTCCGTGTACACCGAACTCCCGGCCTCCAACACCTGGGCCTCCCATGCCAACAACAGCTCTCAGGAAAACCTCTCAGGGCTCTACCCCCCCAACTGCCATCTTGGGGCCGCTTCGGTCGGTCCGACAGTCGTGCGCTTGCTTGCACGTTACTCTTCCTCTTCTACAGATCTTTCCTCCTCCTCCTCCTCGCCGTCCTCCTCTTCCTTCTCCTCCTCTTCCTGCCCCGAGGTCATCCGACGATGTGATGCTTTGTATTCACAGCCCAAAAACTCCCGATCGTTTCCAGGGCGCAGCTTTCAATCCCATATCCGTTTTTGCTGGTCTCCCCAGTTTCGGGGGAACGTGAAGGTGGGGCAGGGCCAGAGGTGGAATTGGAGGAAGCTCCCGAATTGGAGGAGGATCCCTCTTGACAGCCCCTGGAGGAGGGAAACATCAGCCTCAAGCTCGGCTCGTACCCTAACCCAACCTTGGGCTGAGTCCGCTTCTAGGTAACCTCGACCCTCTCGTCTCGGCGGCGACGATGGGGGCGAATAGCCCAGGGGAGTACAATGCATGTATCCAGGGGCGCCGATGATCCATGCCCGCGGCGAAGCTCCCGGGCGAATACGTGTGATGCCCGCCCTGGGCTAGTCAACCCGTATAAGAAGGCCTTGGGAGACCATGCTGGCACTCTGCGAGCGGGGCGCGGCCAGCGAAAGCGGCCGAGGGTGGGCCGAAGGGGAAGGATGCAAGGTCAACCTTGGAAAGCTGCTCATCCCTGCACAGGTCGACTATTCGGGAGCGGCCAAGAGGGGCGTGTCCAAGAGGGGGGGGGTGCAAATCATGACCGGCGACATGTGCGTGGCCCAGGGGGGAGGCTGGGGACGCAATGAAACAAGAAGAGGCGCCGTGAAATCTGGGGAAATATCATGGCCCCCGCCATGATATCCACCCCCCCTAGTCATCACCCCCCTCTCTGCCGCCCCCCGAACTTTTCTCGCCCCCGTCGTCGCCTCCAATCTTCCTCGCCTCAGTTTTGGAGCCCCCCGGCGCACCTCATGGGCACTGGCCGGAATAAGTAGCTGATTTTCCCGGCGCTTCCTGGCGCTTCCCGGCGCCGGAGGCGGCGATGTATCGAGGACTGGGCCTCTCGGTGGGGCCGAAACCAGCTGCATGCAGCAAATTTCGCAACCCCTCCTTTCCCAATCCCCCCCTTTCGTCCGGCCCGAGTGTTGGAGCCCTCCGGCGCACCTCATGGGCACTGGTCGGAACAAGTACGGGTCCTGCGCGGGGGACGCGTCTCGGAGGCGGGGCGCGCGCCCCCCGCCGCTCCCCTCCCCCTCCCCCGCCGTCGCAGGCGTCGCCGGCGTCGCCGCTGCCGCGGCGGTCATCGGAGTGGGGGCGGGGGACGAAAGGGGGGAGGGGGAGGAGGAGGAGGAGGAGGAGGAGGAGGAGGAGGAGGAGGAGGAGGAGGAGGAGGAGGAGGAGGTGGAGGTGGAGGAGGAGGAGGAGGAGGAAGGAGAGGGGGGGAGGGCAAGCTGGGTGCGCTCGCGTCATATTATCTGACGTCCTGCCCCTCTCTCCCATCCTTTGCCATGGCGTAGATCTCCTCCGTGTTCGCACAGTCGGGTGTCGTAGCATGGCATAGCATTACATGGCATAGCATGGTGTTGAAGATCAACGCGTCGGGGCGACGCCCCAGTGGGTGCTTCTGCGGCCCAAAGTCAACGAATCGACACCGAATGTGTAATCACTTCCGATGTTATCTTTCAGAGGGCCATTTTCTAGATTTGGGGGCCTAGTTGGCAGGGCCGAAAACCATGCGATGGCATGGTACTGGAAATAATGACGCCACCGCTGCATCCGCTGCAGCGGTGGTCCTGCGACCCTACCGGCACCAATCCCATGGGAGCCTGATACTGTAGCGGCGCTACCGGTACCGGCGGTCCTAACCGGACAATGCTGGCCGTACCGGCACCGCGTGCTCTTGCCACCGTACCGTACCGTGCCGTACCGTGGCCACGATGGCAGCGGGAGCACGATTCGGATCGAGCGGAAGCACGGAAATGAAGGTAACGCTGCAGCGGGAGCACGATTCGGAACGAGCGGAAGCGCGGAAATGAGGCCAGCGCTGCAGAGGGAGCACGATTTGGAACGAGCGGAAGCCCGAAAATGAGGCTAGCGCTTCAGCGGGATCAACATGTTGAAAAGGAGCAAACAAAACAACAAGCGAAAACCCAACTCCCGGGAGGGGGGCCGGAGATCTTCTGGACGTCATCAGGGGAGAGAGGAGACTAGTATTCATATTGTGTAATTGTGGAGGAGAGACGGGGGGGGGAAGAGTGGGGGAGTCCAAATCAGTCCATGCGGCTCCTGAACGTCCAAGGAGACGAGATCTATACACATCCGCTGCTCCTGGCCAGGAGTGGTGGGTATGTATAGATCTCGTCGCCCTAGACGTCCGAGTGCCCGAAAATGCCGCTGCTCTAGACTCCTGAGCGTCGCCTTCGCGACAGTCGTATCTGATGGAAATGCTTCTGGGCCCTCAGTGCCCTCTCGAGCGCCGCTCGCACTGCCCCACTGGGGCGACCACAGTTCGGGCCCGCAGAAATGGGGGAGGGGGAAGAGGACCAGAATAAACACACGCTGCACCACCGATGCTGCAAGTACACCCTCGTGGCCCCGGTGGCCTCACCACATGTCCGAATAGGCAGGTAAGTTCCTCTGCGCGAATGAGCATCGTTTGTCCGATCCCTATCCCGAGCGGCGTGGCCTGGGCACCACTAGCCGATTTACCCCCCTAGATGGGGATATAGGCAGTTCCCTTCCGGTTTCGAAGGGTGTATCCCCAACTGGGGGGGTAACTTGGTGGGGGTCTCGAAGGGGATGGGGATGGGGAGGGGGGTCGGTTAAACGATACTGAACGAAGGCCCCGTTGACAAAAATCGTGAAGCCCATAGGCCCGTCATACAAGCGGGGGTCCCGCTCTGGGAAGGAGCCGCCCTCCACATCTATGCGCGACAGTGCCCCGCGGCACAAGCCGTCTCCTCTGATTCTGCCCCCTCGGAGAGCTCCTGAACATAAACCGCCGCATCATCGTCGCCCATGCCTACTGGAGGTCTCCCAACGACTGCTTGGCCCCCTTGTGCCTGGGCGCGGTTGGTTTTTACCTTCTTGGTGCCACGATGCAACGGCGTCCCATTGGTCGCACCACCGGGGAGACCAGGTGCCCTCCGGTTGTGATACTTATTTTGGCCTACTGACCACTGTTCTTGTTCTGCGCGCTCCATGATGTTGACCTGCCTGCACTTCGGGGCGCACCCACGCTCATCATGGCGGCCCCAATGCACTTGGCCGTGCCCCAGGGCGCGCATGAGCTGCATGTACTTGGTTCCTAAATCGTCCAGGTCGTTCCTGAGGAGAGACGGGGCGGTGGCTCGCTGGATGGCCATCGGGATGCCATTATGCTTTTCCTTTTCGCCAGCGGTCGGCTGATTGACCTGCTCCCAGAGGTCCGCATCCTGTAGCACGCTTGACATCCACCTCTACGTGCAACTGGGGAATTCAAACCTCGTCGGTGATAATCGCTCGCCCCTTCAGCAAGTCGCCGCTGCTGCTTCTGGTTACCATTATGCAGGCAACGCGTGACTTTGGGGCCTTTTTGGTGGCTGTCGGTGGTCTGGATGCTGTCGGCTTGAAAGTTGTTTGGCTGATGGCGGCTTGAGGCTGGGCGCGCAACGTCGACCCCCCTCCGATGCTACAGTGCCACTCCGAGAAGATTCAGCGCATGGAGATACGGAGCGAGACTCCTGCCAACCAGCGTTTGACCCAAGCATCTGGTTTCTCCGTCAAACGGGAAGCACGCGCCTCCACACACACACACACAAACATCTACACACAAACACACACACACACACACACGCACGCACGCACGCACGCACGCACGCACACACACACACACACACACACACACACACACTAACACACCCACACACATTCACACACACACACACACACACACACACACTTGTGATGAGTACGTAAGTGAACGAATGCTGAGTCTGTGGGCCTCGTGAAGGGCCTCACCAGGGACAGGTCCAGCTTTTCCGAGCACCCGCAATTTGCACAGTCCGTCAGAGACCTACACGTGTATGCACCTCGCTCTGCGAGGTTTGAGCTGGCCTCTAAACCCCTGACGGAGAGGCTTGACACAAATTGGTTGCGGTCAGCGCGGCGAGGCAAACAGGGTGTGAAAGGCTGGCTGTCTGGCAAGGTGTCCCAGGCCGAGGCGGGCCAGAAGGAGAGGGAGCAAGCGGGGCACGAAACGGCAGAGACAGGAGGAAGAAAGCAGCCAAGAGGACAGGCGAGGAGGAGGAAGCAACGAGGCTGCGCTGGCAAGTCTTTGATGTCTGAACATCATGCAACACTAAAGTGGGCGAGGCCTCGGAGCCCTTGGGGTCCTAGGGCGTGGATTTCCCATGCGCAAACCTAGGTCTCCTGCTCTATGCAGGAGGTTCCCAAAACAGAGAAAATCAAGCTTCTTTCTCAGATACGTAAATAAACCTAGGGCGTCTGGACAAGGATGTGTGGCATGTGACTTCTTAGGCCTCAAATAGCTGAGGACAGTCTTGGAAGCTGAAAGTCAAGAAGCACACGCACACACACAACCCGTCCAAACGAGCAGGGGTGGGAGAGTAGAATACAGAACAGAACTCTGCAGCAAGCTTCTCAGGTTCACAATGGAACCTTGTAAGCCGTCACCGATGCAGCTGGGATCTGAACCTTTCTTCTTTCTCTACTTAGTGGCCAAGATATGCGCATAGTCCCACGAGCAGGGGCTGACCGACCGCCGCAAGCCAGGCCCACGACTCCCCGACCGTGGCATGCGACTTGAGCAAGTCCGAAGTAGAATCGTGAGCATCTGGGCGTGAGGTCGGCGCCGCAGCGCCTCATAAATAGTGAAGCCACCATGTAGCCCCAGGTTGGAGGTGTGAGAAGACCATGCGGAGGGCGACTATAGGTAAGATTGCCATTGTTCGCTGAATCGCAAAAGTCAGGAGGCTCTCTGCCGATACACGAGCGAAACCCACGAACAAGCATAGTTGGTACGTAGCCCAGAGAAACATCACAACTGGGAGCAGCAAGCCACATACGCGTAGCATCCTTCAGACTTTCTCAGATGTCACAGGTTCAGTAAGTGTATCGAGCGCCGCCGATGTCGTTCATTGAAGCGTGATGGTCTGTAAGTCGGCGGCGCTCCAGGACCCGTCATGCTGGATGCGGGAGTAGATCAGCTGGCCGACCTTGGAGAAGCTGGAGGCTGCCTGAGCCTCTGCGGGAGGGGCCCCCAGCGTTTGAAGCTTTGTCACCACGCGCTGTGCGGCATCGTAGCACCCGTGGAGCTGCTGATCTCCTGGGATAATTGAATCATGCTCTGACGCTGGGGCCCAACCCCCAGGATGTCGATCGCATGGTCGTGGTCCGTCACTGTCATCTGGGGTGCCATGAGCGCGAACCTCTTAGGCACCCCCGCACCGTCCCTTCCTGGGCCAGCAAGGGACACAGGCGATGGTGTAACAACAGGAGTAGACGTCCGGTTCCTTTGCGGGGTGACGGCGGCCGACTCGCTCGGTGTTGCCGGTTGCTGCGAGGCCATCATCCGCTCCATCATCTGGCGTGTCGCGCGGGAGTCCTCCGCCGCACCAGCCAGAGTGGCGTTGATGGTGCTGATCTGCTGGCCGTGGGTCTCCACCGTACTCTGAAGAGTCGCTATGTTGGACTGCAGCTGCATGATGATCGGGCTTGACGCCAGCGCGTTGCTCTGAGTCGCGGAGCCTGCTGTGGTGCCAGGGGTGGTCGAACCAGCTGGCTGAGTCGGGCTGCCGACGAGGTCGTGAAGGCGGCTGATCGTCTGCTGGAGTCGGGTGTCGCCAGGAGCACTGGACCGAAGCACGTCCGTGATGGCACCCACGAGCTCACGGGCAGGCTCGGCACCCGCCGCGGCGGTGGGGCTCGGGGCCCCTGTACCCTGGCAGCCCCCCTGAGGCCCAGGAGGGGTGGCCACTGGTGGTGGGACATTCGGCTGCTGCTGAGTCTGGGCCAGCGCCGCACCCGCACGCGTGAGCCCCCCTAGGGCCGCAATGTTGTCCATGGCCGACGTCACCTGGCCAAGCATGCTGGAGAAGCCACCGCCCATGTTGCCACCGAAGTTGTTGGGGCCACCCTTCCCCCACGGCTGATACCGCGGGGCGCATGGCCCTCCCTGCTGGCGGCCCATCTGGCC